CATCTCATCACTTACCATATTCATTGAACAGCTTGAACTTCTTAAAGACGAAGTTTTTCAGCTCTTCGCGGATCCTCTCGCCGACCATGTTTGGTTGATAAATGAAAAGAGTAACATATCCTCTGTGCAGCATCTGGTACTCCCTATTCGCGGTCAGTGCAAAAAGGGAGTAATAACCGGCCTTCAGCGTCGTCGGACTGTCTATGTCCACCTGCCTGCCAGGGCGCAATGTTCCACCGCATTGGTCTGAAAGAAAAAGAAACAGAAAAAGAAAAAGAAGCAAAAGAAGAAGAACCAGGCCCCATGTCAATCGCGGATGTGTGCATTTGTGTGTTTCTGGTTGTGGATGCCCCACGAGGCCGTTGTCTGTTGATGTCTAAGCCGACGGTTTCCCTCTCAGGCGGTCTTTTCTCCACTTTGCACATGTAGTGGCCGAGAATTAAAGAGATTTCCCGTTGCCAAAGGGTCTCGTCCGATTATAAATCTGTTCCAGGGCTTGCATGAATGGGATCGCAGCCGGTCGAATTACTCTAAAGCATGGTTCGCCACAAAATGGACAAAAATGGAGCCAGGAGTGATCGGGGTCACGGGATAATGAGCTGAGGACTTATCGGCACAAATCTACAGTCACTTCCGGTCAAAGGCATTCTGCTGCTTCGAGTTGCGGTGGGGCGAACGTACGACAGCCTTCTTCTCGCTTCTTGAATGTGTTCAAGTCTTGTCTAGTCGCTCCGCGCACACCGAACCCATGCTTCGGAGCACCATCTCTTCGTCATGCTGACGTTGGTCTGTACTCTTTCGGATGGGAGTGAAAGAAAGTTTGACCCAAATGGTTTCTCGCTTGTAATTAGGCTTTCGAGACTAACAGTAGATCATTTATACGAGGTATATTCACCCTATTTCGTTGACGGTGATAAAGGGACTGGTAATTGAATGTTCACGCAATCAGACGATTAGACATTGGGTTTCCATGTTATTTCACATATTCATGCCTCCAAAACGCAGGAGTGGACTGCAGTTTCGACTTTGCCTGAACCGATTTCATCAGCACCCACAGCGGGACTCGAATCATGTGGCTGAAGAGTGTAATCTCTACACGTAAATCACAACGCCATATCGTCACGAGTGCCCTCGTGCCACAGGACAAATGCGAATTTGTAAAGAGGACCACATCACATTCTGTGAGGAGATTGCCGATAAAGCAAAGTTGTACTTGCTATAGCAATGGACTGCACTACTTATTTTTCATTTGCAAGCAGGTTTTCGGCACTACTAGTAGATCGTATGCATTAGATGTATTCACCTAATTTCGCTATGCTGATGAATGCGATATGGGAAAATATCTGGCTTTTCCGACACGGTTCGAGTCCTGCTGGGGGTGCTAAAGAGACCAGCTGAGGCGAGGTCGAGGCTGCAGTCCACTTCAGCCGGGATGAGAATAGCTTTGTGGAAGCGGGGCTATGCGAAATGCTGTAGCACGTGTGAATGTGAGAAAATTGCTCTTCCACTCCCTCGTCAGCTTGAACATGCAACAGTTCCCATACACCAGCGTCAAATCAAACAGCACCGCTCACCATATTTCTCGATAAGAATGCGTTTGCACCGACAATAGGTAGTCGCAAAGAGGCAACAACTGTCCGATCTGTTGGAATGCCTGTCGGGATTTGGCCTTCGCAGTCTTATGCTCGAGGCGAGTCCGACTAAAACGAGAAGCCCAAGTGGACCATGAAGCATCCATTTGGCGCCAGGCCGGAGCATGGCTCGACTGGAGTCTTTGTTACAAAAACGTGCCGGTCCGCGGTCCAACGGGCGAAGATCTTTTCCTTGATCCACTCAAACAGGATCAGATCGATGCTGGCCAAAACACTCAGAGATGACGAATATATGAGACTCGATAAAATACGTATTGAAATCTTTCCAGATTGTCAGTAGACCTAGAATAAAAGCTTTTTTCACCAGTTAAGCTGAGGATCGTTGATTTATGTAAAATATAAAATGATATTTAAGTAGAGATTTGAGACTACTCAAATACAAAATAAGTAATGTAGTCTATTATTATAGCAAATATACGTTTGTTTCATCGACAATCCCACCAAATAATATATGGCAAAGAGGCCTGACATTCCTTTAAATTCACTTATGCCCTGCGACTCAGGCGTACTCGTGGCAGTGTAGCCGAGTGGCTAGCGTTTCAAGCTTTCATCCTGCATTGTTGCGGTTCGAATCCCGCTGAGGGTGTTGATAAGACCAGTTGATGCGAGGTCGAGACTGCAGTCCACTTCACCCTGCATGAGAACAACTTTTGGGAAAGCTAGGCTGCGTGAAATTCAATGGAAACGCCAGTTCTACTCAACCGATTGTGGGAAAATTCAACTTCCAGTCCTTCATCACCTTAAACGAAATAGTGTGAATACATCTCGCATTATAAAATGATAGTTGAATTTTTCTCAAATTACCGAAATGGCAAAAGTTCTAATTCATAATGTCTCGACAGTTTTGAAAGCTAGACGCTAATTTTCCAAAGCCATCGTTGATTTTAAGGACAAAAACAAATATGCTGAAGGCGAGTGGTCGAACCTGCAGACTGGACTGGGTTAGAAAACATTTGCGAGGCTGAGCTAAGTAGGAATCAACGGTGCATTTTGATCTTATATTCATTTTTGTGTGGTCACTTTCCACTACAGATCTACATCTCCCTATGCGATCTGGAAGGCGTAATAGTTTGATTGTATAGCCGTTATTTTCAATCATACTTGAAGAAAATTGCATTATGTAATGAATATGTTTCGGTGAAACCTGAATACCAAC